ATCACCCACCCAATGTCCATTGGCTCCATTCACCGAGATATTTTTGCTATCATCATCTGTTTGGGGTAGTTGTTCAGTTTGTTCTGTTCTCCTTCTGCTACAGCACCAAATGTGCTGCCATATTCTCCTTTTGCAACATGTTCTTGCTGGTGAGTCCGAGTGTCCGGGCCAAGCATCCCAAGCATCGCAGGATCCCCCACCCCTGGGGCTCACAAATTTGGCACTCACCTAGTAGGTGGATCTGTCGATCCAAGCCCCGTCAGATCCCCCACACCTGGAGCTCACGAACCTGGCACCCACCAAGTAAGGAACCATTATTCTTTTTTAAAGATTTATTTTACTTTTTTTTTAAATTTGAAAGTCAGATATACAAAGAGGAGGAGAGACAGAGGGGAAGATCTGTGTGATGACTCACTTCCAAAGAAGCCACAATGGTCAGAACTACGTCAATCCAAAATCAGGAGCCAGGAGGCTCTTCTGGGTCTCCCAGGTAGGTGCAGGGTCCCAAGGCCTTGGACCATCCTTGACTGCTTTCCCAGATCACAGGCAGGGTGCTGGATCGCACACGGGCCACTGGGATTAGAACTGGTGTCCATATGGGATCATGGGGCATACAAGAGGAGGACTTTAGCCACAAACCTACCTTGTCAGGCCCAATATACAACATTCCTTAGAGTTATGTAGTATTGCAAAACTTAAGTTAAAGGCAAGAGAATGAATCATGCAGAAGTCATGATTGTGACATCCTTTGAAAGGGAAGAAAAGATTGAGAATTGGGAGGGATGCAACGAATGCCCCAGGGAATTGGTATAATTTTTTTAAAGATTTATTTTTTTTAGTGAAAAGTCGGATACACAGAGAAGGAGAGACAGAGAAGAGGATCTTCTGTCTGTTGATTCACTCTCCAAGTGTCTGCTATGGCCAGAGTTGAGCTGACTTGAAGCCAGGAGCCAGAAGCCACCTCTGGGTATCCCATACAAGGTTTTGGGCTGTCCTTGACTGCTTTCCCAGGCTACAGCAGGAAGCTGGATGGGAAGCAGGCCTGCCAGGATTAGAACTAGCGCCCATTCGGGATCCTGGAGTGTGCAAGATGAGGACTTTAGCCACGAGGCTATCATGCCAGTCCTGAACTGGTGCCATTTTTTTAAAAAAATTAACTTTATTATTTTTTGTTGGAAAGTCAGATATAGAGAGAGGAGGAGAGACAGAGAGAAAGATCTTCTTTCCACTGATTCACTCCCGAATGGGTTCATAACAGCCAGAGGTGAGCCAATCCAAAGCCAAGAGCCATGAGTCTTCTCCTCCAGGTCTCCCACACAGGTGCAGATCCCAAGGCTTTGGGCATTCTTCAATTGCTTTTACAGCCACAGGCAGGGAGCTGGATGGGAAGAGGGTTCGTTAGGGTTGGAACCAGTGCCCATATGGGATCCTGGCGCATAGAAGGCCAAGATTTTATTTACTAGGCTACCATGCCAGGCACTTTTTGAAAGATTGATTTAGTATTTGAAATGGGAAGAAACAGAGAGGTATGTATTTTCCATTTGCTAGCTCATTCCCTAAATATCCATTTGAACCTGAGCTAGCCTAGGCAGAAACAAAGCCCTGGCAACTCTATCTGGATCTCCCCCCATTGAGTGGCAGAAACTAAGTACTTTGGCCACTCCCTCGTTAGAGTATTAGCAACAAGCTGGATCCGAAGTGCGGAGTAGAAGGGACTCAGAGCAGGCAGCCTGATCTAGGGTGTCAACAGCCCAAGTGGTAACTTAACTTGCTGTACTACAGTGTCTGTCCCTTCTTTACATTTTCATTTTTTCCCTATATTATTTTGATTTGAGCAACAGACTTACAGACAAGAAGGAGAAACACAGATCAAGAGAGAGATGTCTTCCATGTATTTGTTCAATAGCCTCTGGTTCACTCCCCAAAAGGCTGGAGCTGGGCCAGGCCATAGCCAAGATTTAGGAGCTTCTTCTGGCTCTCTCACATGGATGCAATGACCCAAGGCTCTCAGTCATCCTCTTCTGCTTTCCAGTCCATTAGCAGGAAGTTGGATCATAAGTGGAATACCTAGAACTTGAACCAGTAGGATACAGACACCACAGCAGAGGCTTAATCTGCTATATCACAGCACTAGTCCCCTTTCTTGGTTTTTAAAGTTATCTGAAAGCCAGAGGATAAGAATGACAAACATTCCATCCACTAATTCCAACAGTGAAGGTTGGGTCAGCCAGAGCCTAGAACCCAGAACTCAAACCGGGGCAATACACCCAACTACTTGAGCCATCCCCTTGCTGTCTTCCAGGCTGTTCATCAATAGGAAGCTGCTGAAACAGGAGTGGATCTGGAATTAGGACCCTGATACTCTGCTATGAGATGTGGGGGTCCCAAGCAGCAGTTTACTTGCTTTGCCAAATGGCCACCCTTACAGTGATTTTTTTAAGGTTATTAGGTTCTGTGTTTTTGTTGTTTTAAATAATACATTTAATGAGCCCGGCCCCATAAAAATGTGTTTTAGCCACTTAGTGGTTAAAGTCCTTGCCTTGCATCCATCAGGGAACCCTGCTTCTCAGTGGGAGTCCCAGAGGAAACTCCTGACTCCTGACTTTGGATCGGCTCAGCTCCGGCTATTGTGGCTGCTTGGGGAATGAACCAGCAAATGGAAGATCTTTCTGTCTCTCCTTCTCTCTGTAAATCTGTGTTTCCAATAAAAAATAAGTAAATCTTAAAAAAAACACATTTTATTTTTGATAATGTTTACATAATTGAGGGGCATGCTTACCCATGTGCACTACCAGTTATGGTGGGGAGGCTTGAGGAATGGGGGATAGTAGATCAGATAAGTGCCTCCAATCTCCTTCGTTCTGCTTGTATCTGGGAAAAGTGGAGAGAGGTGGGGAGAGGTCCACTCCCAGCAGCCCACCTGCATAAATACCCAGGAACTGGGGAAGGCCACCCCGTGTCATCCCAGGGTCCCTGATGTGGAGCATGTTCTGAGGGTACTGCCTAAGTGGTTTGGATAGTTCTGAGACGCTGTTGATTTCATTGTTCCAAGGTTGAGGAAATCCTTCCAAGGTCCATTGGCTGACATAGTCCACCTCAGAGTCTTGATTGGCTTAGACACTCGCTTTCAAAGCTTGACCAGGAGAGCTGTCTGATTTGCTCCACACTTCATGGTATTAGATGTCCTCTGCAGGCCTCAATTACTCATTTTTGTTTTTAAAAATTTATTTATTTGAAAAGCAGAGGTACAGAGAGAGAGAAGATAGAGTTCTTTTACTTGCTAGTTCCTCCCCCAAATGGCCACAAAACAGCTGGACTTGGGGCTAAGCCACAGCCAGGAGCTAGAAGCTGCATTGGGGTCTCTAACATGGGTGATAGTCGCCCACATAATGGGCCATTTTCCAAGGCACTTTAGCAAGAAGCTGGATTGGAACTGGAGCAGCCAGTGAAATGCCAATATTGCAGGTGGTAGCTTAACTCTCTGCATGATAATGTTGTTCCTCCTAAATAATTTAAAATCATTTCCAAGTTCTGTATATTTTGTGTATATATGTATAAAATATAAAAGTATATAACTGTGTGTATGTAGATTTCTATGTATATCTATACATATCTGCATATAACTATGGGATTCAAACAAGAAGGTTCTGGAGGGTGGTCTGAGAAGCATATCAATGAGACCTGGCAGAGGCCATTTCAGTAACCAGAAAAGCAGAGCAGCAGGAAGTGAGAGAAGGGGGGAGAGGAGTCATCACTTCTGCTATCATCTATATTTGTCAGGGAGCCCTGCTGTGCACTAATTAAAATGATGGCAATATGCTAAGATTCTTGGAAGCGGCCACCCTGTAAATAATGAGGACTTTGTATCACTTAGAATTCTTTTCTTTGGGGCAACAAGAAACAATTCTGGCTAACTCAAGTAAAAAAGAGAAGAGGAAAAAGCAGAAAGGGACAGAGAAAAGTAGAAAATGAGGAAGAGAAGAAGATTGATGAGGTCGTTGGGCAGGTGATATAATCCAGCCAGTCCAGGAAGCCCGCAGCTCCTGGGCCTCCATGGGATGATCTAACCAGGGGACTGGCTCTGTGGACAACTCCATTGCAAACACCTTCTATCTCAGCGGGTCTGCAGCAAGATCCCATTTCCCAGGGGAGTCGGTTCTGACCCAGCGCTTGTTTCCAGCTTTGTAAGCTCGGATTCTGAGCTCGCAGCTCAGGAAAAACTGAGTGCAGAGATTCCCCAAAGGAAGGGAGGACAAGCACATATGAAACACAACAAAACCCAGAAAATACCCTACAGCATGGATTTCTTAGCAAACTATGGGATAACGTACAAAAAAAAAAAAAACCCATTCTGTATTTTAATAAATTCAGTGTTCCGTTGAGACATCTCAACGCGTATCAATTGGTTAAAAGCCCAGATTTGTTGATTTCCCTATAGGGCAGAAACCTTTTCCGTTTGGGATAATTTGATGCTTGCTTCCACAATTGCTTGCTAAATAACTCCAATTGGGACGCACTACTTCTGAATTCAGATCAATCCATCTCTGCAAAAGACTAAAAAGTCAATTGGCAGAACACAATGAAGCCTTGACACAGAAAGCCTTGCTAACCAGCTCAGTAGCCCCAATCCGCAATCTTGTCTCGGAATCAAGGGATGACGCCCCTAGGTCGCTGGTAGGAGTTCCCAGGGCGGGCGCAACGCGCGAGGAGTCCCGCGACGAAGTGCACACTGGGAATTGTAGTTCCGCTAGGAAAGGGCCGAGGGGGTAGGAGCCGCACACGCGCAAAAGAGCCCAGGTCAACAAAGACGGCGGCGTGTGCGCGCGCGCGCGCGGCGGAGAAAGGCACGGAAGGGCATGCGCGTGCGCGGCCGGCGCTCGGAGCTCCTGGGCGCTGAGAGGACGAGCGAGCAGGCGGGGTTGGGGCTACCGACCGCAGGAGGAGGAGGAGGAGGAGGAGGAGAAAGGGTTGTGCTCTTGGCCGAGCGAGGGGCGGGGCCGCGGGCGGCGCGAGCAGGTGCAGGGCTCCCGGGACCCGCCGGCGCGCGAGGGTCCGTGGCCCTCGCCGTCGCAGCAAGTGGCCGCCGTCGCTGGGTCGCCGTCGGTCTGCGGGAGGCGGGTTATGGCGGCGGCGGCGGTGGCGGCAGTGGAAGCCGTGAATGAATTCTCCGGGTGGACGAGGGAAGAAGAAAGGCTCCGGCGGCCCCAGCAGCCCGGCGCCTCCCAGGCCTCCGCCCCCCTGCCTGGCCTCCGCCCCTCCCGCCGCCGCCGGGCCGGCCGCTCCGCCCGAGTCTCCGCATAAGCGGAACCTCTACTATTTCTCCTATCCGCTCTTCGTCGGCTTCGCGCTGCTGCGCCTGGTCGCCTTCCACCTGGGGCTCCTCTTCGTGTGGCTCTGCCAGCGCTTCTCCCGCGCCCTCATGGCCGCCAAGAGGAGCTCCCGGGCCTCGCCGGCGCCCGCCTCGGCCTCGCCCCCGGAGCCTGTGCCGGGCGGCGAGGCCGAGCGCGTCCGCGCCTTCCACAAGCAGGCCTTCGAGTACATCTCCATTGCCCTGCGCATCGATGAGGACGACAAAGGTACCGAGGGAGGGCCGGGGCGGGCTGGAAGGCGAGGGGTCGCCTGGGGGAGGGCTAGCCCCGCGCGTCCCTTTGCTGCCGAGGCGGCTGCGATCCACCCCCGGGGCCCGCGTCCCTGCACGTCCGACCCTCAGCCGCGGCGCTCGGCCGAAGCGCTCGCCTTTCTGCGCGCCCTGGCTGTCGACTTTGTTTGAGACACCAGCCTTCCTCCCCGCGCTGCCCCCCTCCACCCCCAGCTGCTGCATAATCCAAGTCCTGATGACATGACACCCGGACGCGCTGGTGACAGTGACAGTTGTCCTAGAGTGACCACACGGCTCCTTTCTAGCTCTGCAAACAGTGTGCGCGGCTGCGTCCCAGCCAGGTTTCCCAAAGGCTTCGATACCGAAGAAGCTGTTCCTTGTGACAGGCTTGTAATGCTAGAATCCTGGGGTGTCAGGGGCTGAAAAAAAAAAAAAAAGAAAAACGGTGGCTTCGTTGTTGAACGTAGTTGAGTATTGAGTGCGGTTGAGTTTGAGTTGTTAAAGGTTCAGAACGGTCATTTTCTTGATGTGATTCTTGGATATTTTTCAGTAAAGTTGTATTTTAGCTAGAACTTTGCTTCCGGTCTAATTAGGCCAGCGTTGTAAAACGACCTCTTAAGTTTCTGAGTTTAAATGTTGAATGGATTGACTAAGCTTGGAGGTATCACTTTACAGTGAAACCTAAAGCAAAGATTTGTGTTTCTGAGTGAAGGCAAGGATACTACATTCAGCAGGTTTCTTTTAAGCTTTTTGTTTCAGTCTGTGTGTGTGCCAGGCACTGTGACGTTTGTTTGTGTGTTGTTTTACTTAATATTGTCTTGTTTCATCTTCACAGTAATCCTGTGCAGTTGCGGCTGCAAATGCTCTCAGCTGTTTACAGATGAGAGAACCGAGGCTGGGAGCTGAAAGCAGGTCATTTGAAACCCCTGCTAAAAGCTAGTGAACAGTTGTTAAGGGGGCAGAGGGATAAATGAAGCTGAAGCGAATCTGCTAATGTTTGCAAGATCTTTGTCTGCTTTACCTGTAGTGTGCTGGGCTCGTGCTCTGCCTTCTCCCAGAGAAACATTTTTTCACTTTGTCTCAATTAGGCAGTCATTTGCTGTTGCCCTTTGGTGAGGACAAAAGCCATCTGAGGCTCATTGGTGGTGTGTCGTCTGCCTGTTACCGGCTTTAAAAACTCTTTGTGGAATTCCAGTATCAGTGAATGTGGTTTTCTTTGTGGGACCTGGAGTAAGAAAAATAGGGTGCCAGGAAAGGCAGATAGTCAGGTTTTGAGGGTCAGGGCAGAGTGGAGGGTAAGAGGCTTCAAGAAGGGAGACGCCTGCCAGAAAGGAGGCACGGGCGCTTGTGAACTGCCCACTCTGTTGCCCACGGCCTCGAAACACCCGTGGGTCTCTCTGGGAGGACAAAGAGCTGTTGTGGTCCCCTCCTAGGGAAGCCCTGCTCCGCTGCAGCCACCTGGCACAGCTGGATTCCCTGCTGCTTTCTCTTCTTGATAGGAAGTCTTGTTCCTATGGGAAATAGGCTGGTCAATTTTAGTAGTTGGGTTTCACAAAACATTAGGTAGTAAGAGTTGAGGGGTAGAGTAAGTTCAGAGAAAGAAACCAATTGATTAAATAAGACTAGGGACTGGCACTGTGGTGCCATCATTTCAGATGGGCACTGGTACGAGTCCTGACTGTTCCCCTTCCACAACAGCTCCCTGCTGACGGCCTAGGCACACAGCAGAGGATGTGCTAAGTACGTGGGCCCCTGCACCCCATGTGGGAGACTTAGAAGAAGCTTCTGGCTCCCAGCTTTGGATTGACCCCCAGTCTGGCCATGGTGGAGTAAGGGAGTGTCTCTGTAACTCTGATTTGCAAGTAAGAATAAGTTAGTCCTAAAAAAAATTATTTTAGTTTATTTGAAAGACAAAATGTCAGAGCTCTTCAGTGCTTTTTTGCACTTTCCAAATGGCTGCAGTGCTTGATGCTGGGGTAGTCCGAAGTGGTTAGTCCATCGTCTCCCAGGTGACTGGCAGAAGCCCAAGTTCTCGGGCCGTCTTCCACTGCCTTCTCAGACACCTTGTCAAGGAGCTGGATTGGAAGCGAAGCATCCGGAACTCTGCTGGGGGATGTTGGTGTCAGAGGCCGCTGCTTAACCCACTGTGCCACAGTGCCTGCCCTGCTGTGAAGTTGTAGCCTTGTTAATGTGGACATTGGCAAGATGCTGACAGAAGACTGTTGTAAGAAAGTGGGTGTTTTTTTCCACTGGAGTAATTTGTGGAAGAACTAAATAACTAAAACAAAAACAGATTAAGTAGATGAATGAATGCAGTGTGTTTACTATATTACAAATGAATGAAAATCAGTAACATCCAGTTACACTCACAGTTCAACACAAGGATTTAACATATTAATTTTGTATGGTAAAGATAACAAAAATGTTATCTGACCACCTTATTATTTAGTATGTTATTGTAGTTCTCTACTTCTTGACTTTTGCCACAACTCGGGTAGAAGAAATAGCCTATTTTAGGGAAGCATACTGAAGCCCAGACAGATACACCGATCTTTCCGAAGTCCTACAGATGTTACATCGTGGGAGAAGGACTTAAGTTTCCATTTTGTACCTCAGCACATGTCAGCTTTTTCCACCTAAAATTCTCCTTGCATCAACCTTGTTTGTGACATTCTGGGTCCCACTAGTATGTACAAGAAAATCAGTATATAATGCAAACAATTGTTACACTCACCTCTTGTTTTGTTGTGTAGGTATGCGTGCCTGTATTTGTAAGGCAGAGAAATAGAGACTTTCTGTGGTTAGCTCCCTGATCAAGTACAGTGGCTGCAGCTGGGCAGGCTAGTAGACCAGAGCCAGGAACTGCTTGCACTCTCCCACCTGGAGAGCAGGAACCCGAAGGCTTGAAGTGCCTGCTGCATTAAGAAGCAGGGTAGCAGGCCCAGCACGGTGGCCTAGCGGCTAACATCCTCGCCTTGAATTGGCGCCGATTCTAATTCCAGCAGCCCCACTTCCCATCTACTTGTGGCTTGGGAAAGCAGCCTTGGGACCCTGCACCCACATGGGAGACCTGGAAGAAGTTTCTTACTTTGGTAGCACTTGGATCCCATACGGGAACCAGTTTGTGATCTCGCTACTCCATTTCCTGTCAAGCTACCTACTTGTGGCCTGGGAAAGCAGTCAAGGATGGTCCAAAGCCTTGGGACCCTGCACCTGTGTGGGAGATCCAGGAAGATGCTCCTGGCTCCTGTTTTCAGATCAGATCAGCTGTAGCCATTGTGGCCACTTTGGGGAGTGAATCAGTGAATAGAAGATTTTTCTGTTTCCTTCTCTCTGTAGATTTGCATTTCCAATAAAAAAGAATTTTAAAGATGAGAGAGAGAGATATTCTCGCTAGCTTACTTTCCAAATGGCCACAGCAGCTTAAGTTGAGCTGGTCCAAAGCTGGGAACTGGGAACTTCCTGTTGGTCTTCCACTTGAGCCATCTTCTGCTTTCCCAGACCATTAGTAGGGAGCTGGATTGAAAGTGGAACAGCTGGGACTTGAATCAGCAGGCACATGGGATATCGGCACCATAGGTGGGGAATTAGCTTGCTGTGCCACAGTGCTGGCTTCTAAACGTGTTTATAATTTTTTTTTAAAGATTTATTTATTTATTGGAAAGTCAGATATACAGAGAGGAGGAGAGACAGAGAGGAAGATCTTCTGTCCGTCCGATGATTCGTTCCCCAAGTGAGCGCAACGGCCGATGCTATGCCAATCCGAAGCCAGGATCCAGGAACTTCTTCCAGGTCTCCCACACGGGTGCAGGGTCCCAAAGCTTTGGGCCGTCCTCGACTGCTTTCCCAGGCCACAAGCAGGGAGCTGGAGGGGAAGTGGAGCTGCTGGGATTAGAACTGGCGCCCATATGGGATCCCGGTGCATTCAAGGTGCGTTCAAGGCGAGGACTTTAGTTGCTAGGCCATGCCGCCGGGCCCGTGTTTATAATTTTTTTAAAGGTTTATTTATTTTTATTGAAAAGTCAGATATACAGAGAGGAGGAAAGAAAGGAAGATCTTCTGTGTGATGATTCACTTCCCAAGCCAGGAGCCATTAACTTCTTCTGGGTCTCCCTCATAGGTGTAGGCTTTGGTCCGACCTCTCCTGCTTTTCTATGCCTTCAGCAAGGAGCTGGATCACAAGTAGAGCAGCTGAGCCTCCAGCTGCCACCCAATATGATGCCAGCACTGCAGGTGTAGGATTAGTGTGCAACACCACTATGCCAGATCCATTTTTACCTTTTGGAGTGGTGTTTCAGGTCCTCAGTTGCTTCACTGGAATAGGCAAACTTGCCTTTCCTGTGCACCTGCACATGTTCCTATCCCTAGTGCAGAGTCTGCCAAGGAGGTGACCCATCATGCAGTGTGTATGTCAGTGTTAGGGCACACACCCACATCTGTTGCTTGAGAACTGACATCCGGGGGATCCGAAAAGCCAAGTGGACCTGGAAGCACAGGCTACCCACTGGCGCTGCAGGTCATCAGTTGAACCAAGAGCAAATCTGTTAAAGGCAGGAAGTCCTGGAAGACTCGAGCGATTGGCCTGGAGATGCGGTGGGAAGGGGGAACACAGGCAGCAGCACCCCTGGACCAGCTGCTTTTCCCTGCCAAGCTGGCCGGGACAGCAAGGGCCAGGCCTCCAGCATGCACTGTTCTTGGGGCTCAGTCCCTAGGTGCTTGTTGCCACCAATCCAGGCAGTGTGGTAAGGCTATGGGCAACCAACCCCTCTAGTGTGACTCCTAGGTGATAGGCTGGGGTGCTTGTTGTCACCTTTCTTTGTGGTGCGGTGGGGCCCCGCGATCAACACTGGTACATATGGGAATCCAGGCCATAGTCACTTGTCCCAGCCAGGCCTGCCTGCATGTTAGGGGGCCAGGATTTCCCCTCTCCCCACCTCCCCCGCCTACAGGTTCCCAGGCCCTACACCCAGGGAGCTT